TTTAAGCTTATGAGTTCGAGTTTCTTATCAATTATTAATAGGGATAGCCACTAAAGTTCTTTCACTGACTGTAATTTTAAGATCTAAGATTAGTTGAGGTGCGCGTAAGTTGGTCAACACCCTCGACCCCGGTTATTAAAAAAAATGGCTTTCACATCCTAATCTCATATCCAAATCGAAAATTCGTAACGAGACGAGGAGTACAATAGATTTGATCCCCAAACAATTGTATTTTATCTTTATAGTGACAATATATTAAATTAAAACAAAAAAACAGTATATGTACTAACATTTTCAAAATACATATTTAAGCAATATGTACAATTAGTATTGAAAATAATAAAATTCGGCGAAGTCACGGCGCAAAAAAGATTATAATAAGTCAAATAAAGCAATAAATATCCATGTGATGCGAGTCCAAAATTCTGTCACTTGGTCAATTGACTTGACCACTGTACATGTTATCATGTGCACATGTTTTTATAATCGTAGTTCCTACCAATACAAAAAGAAAAAAAATATAATATAAACTTTATTTTAAAATTATAAAAAAAATTAAAGTCATCCTCGTAGAAAATAACCCACCCTTTCATAATAGGTTTAGAAAAAAACATTTCCTCGTATTTTCACCTTAAAATTACATTTCAGAGTGGCCCCCGAAACGACATAGTACTGTCATTTCCTCGTCTTGCTGTCTATTGACTATGGGCAATTTTGTCTCCACATGTTATAATTGAGCAAATGTTTTTTATTTTACTCAATATTATGTCTTATTTAAATTTCCTATTATTTAGAAATAAATATTAATAAAACAAATAATAAATATGTAAATAAATACAGACACGAAACGCCATGCTGTCGTGGTATGACAAAAAGCTAAAAACGGAACTCCACTTTATTTCAGCATTCGAACAGAACCATATGGTGACGTTTCTTTTTCATTTATTACTGTTGTGTAAAACCATGATACGGTACAAATTAGCTTTTTTTTTCCAACTAACAGAACGTTTCGGCTCGCGGTATTTGGCCTTTGGATACACGACAAATCAGAACATCCAAAACATGCAGTGCCGTACGATTTAATATCGGCAGATTTCTGAAGAGAGATCACCACCGTCGCTTTTTACCTTTAGAGCTCTGGGACCCACAGAAACAGTATCTTTTCTTAAGTCTGTGGCCCCGCGGAAGTTTTGTTTCTCCATTCAGTGTGCTCACGGAAGAAAGAACACACGGAGACAAGGTGGGGCGTAGCTGACGTAATAAATATTAATAATTTGAATTGATTTTTATTACAAATTTATTTATTGTGTCTAATATTTAGTGCCTCACCGTAACAGTGTACTTTCCTAGATTCTTATGTTCACATTCACCATAAATTCAATTATATAGTTTTAACATTTATAGTTAAATTTATAACTTTAAAAGGATGATTTATAATACTAAGATAAACTTTAATAGAAGAATGAATTTGCAACAACCAATAATAATAAATTTATGTGATCGAACATTACTGTAAGTGAAATAGAAATTACAGACCTATGCCCACCATGGTTACAGTGGTAAGGGCGAATCAAGAGGCTACAAATAGTTAAGACTCATAGTCTTAACAGTTTGATTCCCGATTAAGCGTAAAATATATATTTGTCTGAAAGTCGTAATGATGAGTGTTTGTGAACTACTCCTCTAAAAATTAGTCAAGATGCATATAGTTGGCCCAATACCTCAGTTGTAATCTTTCCATATTTTATTTTAAGAAATGTACTGCTTTGAGAATTAACGATGGAACCAATACGCTCAACTCCTTCCAATCTATTATTTGATATAATTTGTTTTTATACATCGAACTTAATTTTACTCTGAATTTCATTGTTCCGGTGACATTCTAGTTCTATAAGATTTTATTTTTTCATAACTTAATTTTAAAAAAATCTCTGCATAGTAATTTCTTATTTCATAACTCTAATTGCAAAACGATTTATTTATGTGGATTGAGATTATTGACATTTTAATTTCTCATTTAGTTATTTTTTATTGTTCATTAATGAAACAAGAAGAAGGTGCGGGATATGATTAATTAAATCTCATTACGTATGGTGTTGGTATCTTTCCCGAACCTCGGGGGAGGTTGGAGTCTTGGAGATAGAATCTTGATTCTTAAGCAATAATACAACATAGTCAATATATGTACCATCAATACGAGAAAATCTTCCTGTTATAATTATTTATTTTATTTCATGTATTTAATTTAAACCCGTGTTCTAATTTCTTATTTTAATTTAAATAACTTAATTATTAAACTGTGGTGCCCCAAAAAAAAAAAAAAAAAAAACCAATAATTGTGGCAATGATTGAGCTACCTAGCATTACTGTTCGATATAAGACTAATTGTACTCTTAAATAAATTTCAAAAGATTTTCTTTTAATCTTGGGAAATTGTCCCATTGACCCTACATTCAGGCATAATTTAAAACATTCTTGTTGATACCAAATTTGTACAGATACTTAATCCACATTGGAAATGATCAAGTAGATATACGAGTGGTTACCGATAACCACAGTCGTAAAAACAACTTAATAAAGTAAAGAATAAAAGAGATTTTATAGTGTGTCTCAGTATAGAACCAAACCTACATCTATTGTTATATTATTGCTAGAGGACGTTACAGGGTTGAATGAGGTTACGGAGAGAGTTCGCAAGCTAAATGGAAGACATTTAACTATTGCGACCTATTCTCTTTAACATTCTCTTAAACAGGTAAGTGTGTTTTTTTCTCTTAACTCCCTAATAAATTGGAATTGTCATCAATTGAAACGGAGGTTGTAGACTCCTTTTTATACTTGGTTCGTCTGACAGTGGTTGAGAATGAGTTCATGGGTTGATTGCACACAAATCCTTTGATTAGGATCTGAGTCAATAATTTTTATGTTTCTGACAGACTGTGTCATGCTAAATGACTACTAATATGTTTATATACTGATACTATGTAGACAATCGTATGTGATACTGTGGGAAGATTGACATGTATGATCTTGAATACGTTAGGGACGCGTGACACAATTTGACCGTCAGGAAATTAGGCACAACAATACCCAATACTATAATTTATATAACTATCAAATTTCATATTCAAGAAATCTACAAATCGAAATATAAGTTTGAAATTTCTCTTTCTCAAAATAATTATTATGTAGTTTTTCATGTTTGCATCATTTCATGACTAATGAAAATTATATTAAATAAAAATTATCAATATGATATAGGCACAACTATCCAATACTATAATTTATATAACTATCAAATTTCATATTCAAGAGAATCTACAAATCGAAATATATAGTGAAATTTCTCTTTCTCAAAATATTATATGTAGTTTTTCATATTTGCATTATTCATGACTAATGAAAATTATATAAATAAAATTAACAATATGATTATATTGGACACAATTATTGAACCATATTTAATAGATATATTTTTATTTTTAAGTTATAAAAATTATTAATCATAATTATAATGAGTAATGTTATGCTTATCCCTCTTACTAATCATCTATTATCCTATGATTAGTACGAGTATTAATACATAATTAAATACTATATATTATATTTACATAGAAATAAGATGGTTAATAAAATCGTAAGTAAGTATAGTTTTATTGAATTATATTATCACGATGATGGAATAAAAAAAAAATATATATTAAGTTTACTGAAATTGATGGTTACACCGTACATTTGCGCATAGAAATGTGACCGTTGCTAATTCTACTCCGGTAAAGGGGTCCACTGAAGGAATAAGAAGAGACAGGGTGTAAAGAGTACACGGCAAGCACCCGTAGACAGGCTGGAGGAGGATAGGACCCACTTCAACAGAACAGGTAAGCTGGTAAGTAGTGATGTTGACGTACCCGTTGCGAGTGGGACGAATTTTTGATGTTTGGTCCCGACCACGATCTCTTACTCTAGAGTCTAATGCCTCTCTTACGGTCACGTTCTTGGTACTCTCGCTCTATTTGAATTTCCATTTTCAGTCTTTCATTCTTCCTTTCTAATTCTAGCTTACTCCTCCCTCCCTCTATTTATTGCAACCCCTTTTAAGCCTAGTTTAACTTTCCTTAAATACCCCTAATTTAATTATTTATTCCATTTTTATGAATTGTTTTTTTTTTAAATTGTCTTAACGTGTCTTAAAACTATTGGCGGATAAAATATTTATTATATTGATGAATAAAACAATTTTATATATTTTCTAATAAATACAATTTACTTTAAAAAATACAATGTTTAAGCGTTTTTAGTATTTATTTAATAATATAACTTATTTTCTTATACTTTCAATCATTTAGTATTTTGATTTGTTATTGGTAAAATCTATTAACACAAATTGGTCTTTGTTCATTTAATAATATATTTTGATTTTTTCTCCTTAAAAATAATTATTCTACTAATCTAATCTTGAGTTCATAAATTTTATTCCACTTATTAAATTTAATTATACTATCTCCTAGTATAGAAATTAGATTTTGTTTATTTTTTTTCCAAAACTTCAAAGAAAAAGTAAATAAAGTATTGGACAAAGCAATAAATTAAAGATTTAATGATGCATTAAAATTTGATAGTATATAGCCTGGTCCTTAATTAAACTAAATTAGTAATTTGACACCCAAACAAATCAATGCTTGGCTGAAATTGTAGCATCAAAATATTATTCTAAAATATAATCTCAAAAAAAATAGGGTTGCCAAAAATATTTAAAAAAAAAAATGGAGCAAGGGCATAATAGTCAATCAAGAAACGTGAAATACGCATTTCACACCAAAACCGGGGTTATTTTCGTCCATGCCGAAAAGGCTGCCAGATATGCTCCAGGCCGGAATCAAGTAGTGTCAGATTAAAATAAACAAAAATTATTCTTAATTAATGATGATTTTTCTTCTCTAATTTTAATTATAATTAAAAATTTAAAAACAAATAAAACAGAAACTTGAAAAATATAAAAACAAGTAACACAGAAACAGAAGACAATAGAAGAGAAGAGAAGAAGAAACACATGAGAAATTCAAAATTTCAAAACATTAACAGAAAAATCTTCTCTTCATATCGTTACTGATCGTCTTGGAACCCTAGCTACGGCGTCGTTTGTTTGCCTTCTTGACTCCGTTAACGGCAACCTTAAGTGAATAAGAAAAAATTTACCGTTATACCCCTTCCTCGCCGGAGATTGTACGAGAAATGGCCAATGAACCGCCGCGAGAGCGAAACTTCGCATTCAAATTTGCTAGGGTTTCAAGTCCGACATAAACGAGAGTATTGATTTTTAATTTTTTTTTTTTTGGTTTTATAGTCCTGTTTTGTTTTTTTATCAAGTATCTTGTTTGATACGATGGCGTCAAAGGGATGGCTGGTGTTGGAGAAACTGCGGCGGATTGTAAGGACGGTGTTCTTTATGGTGGCGATGGTGGCATCGCTGATGGCATCGTCGTTGCCAGTTCTGGTGGCGGTCGGTGACGTGTTGGTACCGTGCGTTCTGATTTCTAGCTTCACGTGTGTGAGTTGTTATGGATTTAAGGAACATTTGCGTAGATATGATTTCAAGAGCTCGTTGACGGACATTCCTTTCGTTTCGATCGTCAGATCTCTTACTATTATATGTATGTATGAATATGATCATCGTCATCATTATTTAACCGATCAGTGTTATTTTTCTTTTCTTCTTTTTGGATGTTTAGGCTCTTTCAATTTTTTTTCATTTAATTTTTTTTTATTAACTTCTTGTTTCTCTGCTGATGAATTGGAGGAAAATTTAGAATCTGAGTCGTCTGAAAGAAAATGAAGGATTTGCTTAAAGTGCTGTATTTGTACTTATTTTGAGCGTTTATCTGATTTATGTTTTAGTTAGACGTGGGTTTTTGACTATGTATTTGGTTGCTGAGAAAGTGTAGGAAAGTCCGAAAATGAAATATTTTATGAAGTTTATTTTCTTTTTTCCGTTCATTTTTCTGAAAAACGAAAATGAATATTTTAGTAAAAGTTTCTATTTCTATGATGATTCTTCATTTTTTAAATATGTATTAAGATTTTGAACTTTATGTTTAATTGATGAGAAAGCTTGGATGGAGAATAGAAAAGTTGCTGAGAGAAAAAGAAGGAATAATTTATCACCTAGCTGGCTTACTTGAGTGAACTAATCATTTTCTTTTTTCTTTACGGGTGCCAAGAAATAATAGTTGTAATAATAAACTTATATTCATGAGTGAAGTTAAGTTGAATTTAGTTCTTGATTTCCAAAAGTCAAAATAACATGAAGCATGCAGTGGCCTTACTTATTCTCTTCTTCTGCATTGAAATCCACTATGAAATTATTACAGATGCAAATTAGAAGTAGATTGTATTGATAATTGATTATATACAGTCGATCTATTTGGTTATTGATTGTTTTGTGATCACAGGTGTATATTCGATGTGTGATGCCCCGGCTCTCTCACATGGTCCTTACCTTGGAACTGTGACACTCTGCTCTTTTGTTTCAATTCTTCTTCTCTCAGTGAAGGCATGCCTTTTTACTGTTAATTCTCAGCTTGAGGCTGAAGCTTCTTCATCCCTTTCAAGGCAAAGACTGCATCTGAAGAAGTCATGGGGAATGCCAGTCTTGTTTCTTTCGTCTGTAGTTTTTGCCCTTGGCCACACTGTCGTAGCATATAGAACAAGTTGCAGAGCACGAAGGAAACTCCTGTTTCACCGTGTTGATCCAGAAGCAGTAAGTTTGTAGTAGTTTCAAGCATTTGTTTATCATTCTGTATGTATACGAGGTAGTGAATTTCCTGTGTAATCAGGGTAAATCTTCAATTCTGCAAGAAAATAGTTGTCACCAGTATTGTATGGTTGAAACTGTTGATACATAAAAATCTCACTTTTTGGTCCTTATATTAAATTTCAGGTTCTTTCATGCAAAAATGTTTTCTCTGGCTTCCAGAAAGTTCCAAGATCTCCCACTCCCTCTGCAGGGAAAACCCCAAAGAGTGATAGTGAGATGAGGCGAAAGCCATTAGGAACAGCTCGTGATGAGGGGGAACTTCCTGTCAGATTACTTGCTGACATTGACAGCTTATTTCTTACATGCCAAGGCCTTACTGTCCATTACAAGCTCTGTTTGCCTGGTTCACCCCCTCGTTCTTTATCGTCAGCCACCTTTCACGAACCCAATTCAAGATGAATCACTCCACAAATGTCTTTGGGGAGGTTAAAGCTTGAAAGACAAGCCTTTAGTGTGCTATCAAAAACGCAATACCACCATCTTCACAGGAGCTACAGCAATCAATTTCACAGCTCTTCTCTCTATGCTCCATTATTGGATGGTTCTGCAACTTCTACTGTTCTTTCTGAAGATATACCTGTTCTTAGCCTAGATGATACAGTTGAGGAGGAAGAAATGAATTTGGGCTCTCTAGAGCAAGATTTGGAGGGAAATGGTCAGGTTGGTATTGTTTTAGTACATGGGTTCGGAGGAGGAGTATTTTCATGGAGGCATGTCATGGGGGTTCTGGCTAGGCAAACTGGTTGTGCAGTTGCTGCATTTGATCGGCCTGGCTGGGGATTAACTTCTAGGCCTCGTCGGAAAGATTGGGAGGAAAACGAATTGCCTAATCCTTACAAACTTGAAACTCAGGTAATTTGCTTTTGTGGATTTTAATGTTATTCGGTTTGTTTTCTATAAGCTGTAGTGTTCAGGATGGAAAGATGGATTTAGAGGTCCTTTTAAAATTTTGTTCTGACAGTATAGATCAATTAGAAGAGGGAGGAGGGGGGAGGGCAGAGGAATGAAAGATAATATGCCTCCAAGTATAGCTCTCTGCATTTAACATTATTCTCCTTATAGATAGGTCTAGTATCTCAGTTTACGATGTTCATGTTGTTATTCACTGCTAGGTATTTGTAGCTTGCTGCAGAATAAGCATTAGTGGTCTTTTTTCATCCTATACTGATCTTAGGTACCTGGCATTTTTGTGGATCCTATGACCAGATTTCTTCCTTTAAAGCTTTTGTATTGTTGCTCTCCATTATTTTTTGGAATTAATCACGCAATTAAATCTAAATCTCATACTTTCAATATGTTCAGGTTGACTTGCTTCTTTCTTTCTGCTCTGAGATGGGGTTTTCTTCAGTGGTGCTTGTTGGCCATGACGATGGGGGTTTGCTTTCTTTAAAAGCTGCACAAAAAGTCCAATTATCGAATTTGTTCAATGTAAGTTTTCTTGGTTCTCTTCTGCCGGCAACACAATGTCTTTCACTTGAATAAAGTTACATAGCTTAACTTTACCTTCTTTAATTGGATATATGTGCATGCATATACTATGTGCAAAATCTTTTGCTGGGACAAAGTGATTTTCTGTTTATATCTAACATTATGCTTGTTGAGTGAATACTTTCGTATTATTGAGAACAAGAATTGATATTTTTTTATAGTTTTGAAATATTGCTTTTGCTGTTTATGTCCTTTGTATGATCTCATGCTCTTTTGTCCATTTAAATATTAGGTCTCATAGTCTTCAGGGCTGTTGATGGCCTTAATTTCATGATGCTTCTGCATTTGGTACACTGCAGAACATATCCATAGGTGCTTACAGAGACTAAGAGGCCGTTTAGTAACCATAATAAGTATTGACAGTTAAAAGCACAAATATTCAGTGTCCTTTCAAGATATGTTTCATCACATATTATTGGTCCTTTCATCTGCTTTACAAGCCTACATTTTGAAGTCTGGGTGATGTTAACTAATTTAACTCGACTCTTGATTTGTATATGATTGGTTAAGACATCCTATAAAACATCACTTCATTTTGCAAGATATTCGGTATTCCCCCTGTTCTTTTATCTAATTTGTTTTACATCATTCAGGTTGCGATTCAAGGTGTGGTATTGCTAAATGCCAGCTTGTCCAGAGAAGTGGTTCCAGGCTTGGCAAGGATACTCATGCGCACTGCACTTGGGAAGAAGCACTTGATTCGTCCTTTACTGCGAACAGAAATTACTCAAGTGGTGAATAGGCGTGCATGGTATGATGCTACCAAGTTAACAACAGAAGTGTTAAGCCTCTATAAGGTATATTTGAAACTTTTTTGCATTCATAATTACTTTTGCATATCAATTTTTCTTTTTGTTTTTTCAAGAGCCTTGGCTCACCTTATAGGAATTCCTTGGTCATAAGATGTCCTCAAACCCTATCTCTTTAAGATGCCCTGATCCTTTTGGCGAGGGGGTACCATCTGGTCCATGGTCCGTGGGCTTTACTTTCTTTCATTGACCACAAATCACGATTTTTTTGTTGGAAGAACTGCTTGGTGGTATTACTTCAAATGCATCCTGCTGTCATGTGCTTGTCACTTAAAATCATGTGAAATATTTCATTTTTTCCATTTCTACTTTCATTTTGTATATACTTTCTGCCCATAGTTTAAATGACTACTGAAAAAAGCCTTTCAAACCTTCAGTAAACATTACTTGTCGAATTTTACACCATTTGGCTGCATGAATAACTTCTATATGATGTAAGGTTGTTGCTAATTGCGATGACTCTTATCTAGACTGCAACCAATAAATGGTATTAAACTATAGACACTATTAATGGATGAAGTCAGGTTGTTGCGATGAAGGTCTCATCTAGACTGCAGCCAATAAATGATATTAAACTATACAAGCTATTAATAGATGAACTGAACCTTAAAACCGAAAACTGCATGATTCTGACAAGTAGTATTAAATTTGGAACTGGCACATTTACTTGTGCAGCAGAGTTGGTCAGTTATTTTTTGGTAAATGATGTGTGATTTGTCCAAAATTTTCATTGTTTGCATTAAGTTCTTTTCGTTCAATCTATTAAAATGGCTAAGTACAGGACAGCTGTCTATCCTTATTTCCTACTGTTTTACCGATCATTCAATGAGAATTTTGGTCAAGAATGGAACATGTGAATTTTCTTGTCAGTGGATTAAAATTTTAACATGCTAATCACTTCATTTGTTTGCTTTCATAAATTCAATCAGGCCCCACTTTGTGTAGAAGGTTGGGATGAAGCACTTCATGAGATAGGTAGACTGTCATACGAGACTGTCCTTTCACCACAAAATGCAGCATCATTGCTGAAAGCAGTCGAAGACTTGCCAGTCTTGGTTATTTCTGGTGCTGAAGATGCCTTGGTGTCCATTAAATCTTCTCAAGCTATGGCTTCAAAACTTGTAAATTCTGTGAGTACCTTTCTCTTGTCTCTGTTTTTATAGTTATAATATGCTTCTCTCAGATCCGATCAAACTGTGTATGTAATTAAATGTTACTGAATGTTACTGATTGAGATAAATTAAGACCACCGTTAATGCGACTTTCCATTTTTATCATTGAATCTTATTTCACTGTGGTTCGTTGCCTTGCAGAGGCTGGTTGCCATATCGGGATGTGGTCATCTTCCACATGAGGAGAGCCCCAAGTCTTTACTTGCAGCTATAATACCCTTTATAAGCAGACTCTTATTTACGAGAGACTCGCAAAACCAATAGGATACTTTAGCTTATTATAAATAGGTTTGTATCTGTTGTAGGGTTTTTTTTTCTTCCTTTTTTTTTCCCCTCTTTTTCAAGCAATTTAACCCAAGAGAGAGAAAATAACGCCATCTCTCCTTTTGGGTATTTTTGATGTGTTAGTTTGGAGCCTTACCCGAACCCTAACTCTCCAGGGTTATAGAGCTTATTCACTTGTAATTTTTTCTTTTTTTTTGTGGTCTTTTTTTTTTTTTTTTTTCATCCATTGGCAAAGAAAAAGTTTATCTAATGCTTGTTTGAACTAATCGATGCCATTTTCCACTTAAGGGAGTGGGGAATGGCATATTTTGTACATTTATCTATCTGGATGCATGCATTACAGCATCTCCTGTTCTCTACCACTGTTGAATTATATGTTGCCTTTTTTTTTTTTTTTGGCGGCATGGATTGAGCTAAATCTTTTGTTTGAAACTCCAATATAGCTTGACTTATGAACAAGGTGGTGGCCGTGGCTGGTGGCAGATTCAATTGGTTGCCGTTTCAGTCCTTGAATGAATAATGTTATACTATGCTCTTTCTCTATAATAGTAGATGAACTTTGGTGAAAGATACATCATACATCGTTCATTTTGAACGTAACCAACCATATAGCTTTGAAGTACTTAGCAATGTTTTAATAACAAACCTAGGGTGAAACTTGACATAGTGGTCGAGTACCAGGTTGACTAGTTGAATCGGTTTGATTGGCGGTTAAATCTGAGTCTTGGGTTGGCCAGTTGAATCGGCTTGATCGGTAGGTTAAATCGGTGTTCAAAGGTTTGAGATTTAACAAAAACACCTCTATTAATTATTACAAGTCTTTATAAGTTTGAAATTTTGTTAAAACACACAAACACCATTGCGATGTCCAAAATCCAGGCCAAATAGGACCTGTTTCTGGTGATGACAACACTCCTCATCACCACAAAAGCCCTCTCCTCAGCCTCCTAACCAAAACTCATCTCACCCCTCTCACATTTGTTCCGCCAATTGTCGACAACAAGTTGCTATTTTGGTCGATTGGATTTTGCCTTTTCCAGTCAATTCACTCATTGAAAATCACTCCCTTCACCATCTTTAGACTTATCGAGAGTCCCTCTCTAAAAGTCCTAACATAATTGTTGTCGTATGCTCGTTGATTACTGTCCATAATTCTAGGGTTAAGGGTGAATAGTTAAAGTGATAACCCGCTCAACAAAGGCCCCGAGTTCCAGTTGAACCAGCAGGGCCGAGCCGGCCGGGTATCAAAACACTTATTAGACTATATATTAGTCTTTTTCCATTTTAATATTTTTATTGACAATTCTGCTAGGCAGTCAGCACAGAAACGTGCAATTCGCACCTTAGCCGAGTCAATATCTTCCTCTCTCTTGTATTAAGTTTATATGGATACGGTTAATCCCAAAGCAGTTAAAGCTAAGAAATGGATCAATATTTGATAGTGTTGTCTTATAAAAAAAAAAAAAAAAAAAATGAGTTACTCCACTTAGATATAGTTTTTAATAAATGCTTGGGATATTGAATTTATGAAGAAGTTTCAAATTTTATGTTCTTAATAAGAAGACATCAAGGCCATATCCAAGCATTAACCATTTTACACCCAAAGACAACGAATATATCTAGGCCAACTTCGCTAGCACCTCGACTAATCCCTTTGAGGTTTGGATTACTGGCTGGATAAGAGTCCTAGTAACCACCCTTATTAGTGTTTGGAATGACTCAAACTCAAGAACTCATGAAACTTCATTTTGCTCTTTTATCATCTGACTACTCAATGGTGGTTTTGGTGAAATATAGTTTTTGAAACAAACTATGTAAATTCTTCTCCATGTTCTTAGTTAGAATTAGTAATATTTAATCAAAATTGGTTGCAAAAAGAGCATGATACATAGTAAATGATAATTATTTGTAAACCACCCTTGGGTGGTCAAGTAGTCAATTAGGGCTCTTAGGTGTATTATTCAAGAGGTTTTGAGTTCGATTCACTTCGGTCCCTAATAAGGGTGACAATTGGAACTCTTATCCAGTCAGTAGTTTTAGAATCCTAAGGATTAGTTGAAGTATATCAATGTAAAAATAAAAGATGGTCCTTTATTGAGAAAAGAAACAACTAGTCAACAAACACAACTGTATATAGTATAAATGACAATAGTTCACTCTTTAACATAAACATTACACACCAGGAGAAGGAAAAAAATGCAATAACAATACCAACCACACAGAAAGCACCAAGCAAAAAATACAAGAAATCATCATCGATGAGATATGAAAGAGGAACGGAAAGCATTTTCAGTGGCTTTATCCTCCCATCGCAGCTCTTTCCACCACTCTTTCTCACCCTTTATCACAATTTTCCGTGCCTTTGCACTGTTGGAATCCAATGGAAGCCTCTTGACGTTTGGACAGCTACGTATAACCATTTGGTTTAAATGCGGGAAAGGCAAAGCATTCCTATAAATGCTCTTCAAATTTGGTAGATTTTCTAATCGAAGAGTTTCAAGATTTTCAAAAACGTTCAGGTTTTCGATCATCTCTGAGACTTCACTCCATTTCGCAACACCGATTAGTTCTTCGATATCAAAGCAGTTTGATACCGAAACACTCTTCAGGTTTGGAGCAAGAATCAGCCATGTCAAGTCCTTCAGTTTTTGGCAAAATTTTATCTTCACCACATGAAGACCCTGGAAATGAGTTTCTCGTAGATGTTGAACTTCGCCTGGAACATCGATCTTCATCTCTTCCAAATGTTTACACTCAACAATATGAAGTGTTTCAAGACGCTCCATATGTGCCAAACGTAACACATCGAGCGATTTTGACGAATCGTCTAACTCCTGAAGGCATAGAGATTCGGTACAATTCTCTAACTTATTGGAGCTCAGAAATCTCTCGAAAGCATGGAAACTTTTTAGCGTGATGCTCAATACATTTAAATCCTTCAATCTGAACAATTCCTCCACCAAATATTCACCGCCACCGAACAGAATGCTGTCTACCGGAGCTTCACATAAATAACCACATTTGAACATTCTCAATACTTGTAACATCAAAAGACAAGAGAACGATTCTCGAGGTATTTTACGGAGAAAATATGTACGCTCTAAGTTCAGGTATTTAAGGTTTACTAAAGCCTTCAAATCTTCTGGTAAAATTTCGATGCCCGTCGCTGAGAGATCAAGATGTTGCAAAAAAAATAAATCTGAAAAACATCTCTCAGGTAATCTTTTCAAGGAATGATTATATGACAGGTTTAGAACTTTGAGATTAGGCTTATCGATGAAAAGAGAATTGTTCAGTATCAGAAGAGAATTATCGTTAAGAAACAAAGTTTCGAGATAAGGGCATTTCGGGTTACCACCAGGAGTAGCGGTAATCTGATTGTTCATGTAGGATATCCTTCTCATTTCTTCCCATTTGCCAATATCTGGAATACTGGACAATCCATCTCCTGCATGGATCAAAAATTTTTCCTTCTCTTTCTCGATTTCGCTTGCTATCCACATACTCATATCACGAACCACATCATGCATTTTTACGTGAGAGTTGTCTTCTTCTTCTTCCAACAAACATGTGTGAAGAAGAAAACCTATAATATAATATCCTTTGTTCAGTGCTTCATCTCTGTTATATTCATTTACAAATCCCTCGCCGATCCAATAATCTATCAAGTCTCTTTTCGAAATACTGTAGTCTTGGGGAAATAAACTACAGTATAAGAGACAAGATCTAATCATGTCATTAGGCAAACTATCGTAACTGAACTTCAGATAAGAATAAATCTCATCCATACCTGTAGAGACGAATCCAAAATTTAATGTTAGTGTAGACAAGTTCGAAATAAAATAATAAAAAATAATTTTAGTGGAGGCAAGAAATATTTAATTTGAATTTCAGTTTTTTTTTGTTGACTTTAGGGTGAGCATGGGTAAAGGGTAGAACTGGAATCGGCGGGTACCCATCCACTGATTTCAGGTAGAAATCAGAACCAACTCCATTAGGATCCGGTTTTGGTTCTCGAAAGTTGGGAATTCCCGAGTTCGATTCCAGTTCCTACAGTGCTGGAACAGGAACGAGAATCGAAATTAAGGTCCAAGTACCCGAGTAGGAATCGAGATTGAATTGTAATTTTTATAAACTATTGGGGGTTGCATATCATTTTTTAAAAAGTAGGGGGTAATTTAAATCAACCCGGGTACCCTAAACCAGAATTTAAACCTATGTTTTAGGTTCCGGTTCTAAGTTTCTAGGAACTAGAACCTATGTTTTAGGTTCCGGTTCTGGGTTTCTAGCAATCGAAACCTATGTTTCAGGTTACAATTCTAGGTTTCTAAGAATCAGAACTGGAACTAGAACTAACCCGTTCCGGTTCCTTCAAAAAGTGTAGGATAACCGAAACCGATCACCCCTACTTATAATTAATAAAGACAATATAAATTATATTTAATTAATAAAAAAATTATCTTCTTCAATAAACAAAACCTTGTTTGTTTAATAAATAATGGGAAAGAATCGGTTATTCTCTTAGATGGGCGGAGTCAACTTGCAAAGTAAATTATATCAAATTAGAATAAAGGAAGACAAATATAAAGAGAAATTAATAATTAAAAAAAAAAAAATTTGAGTGGGGTCACCAGTCCCCACTTGCATACCTGGAAATTTAGAAGCCGATTTTCTTAGAACTTGAATTGCATACTTCCAGTCCTTGGGTTCGCTTTTGAAAGCCATAGCTCGACCAATGGTAATCAGTGCGAGTGGCAAACCAGCACATTCATCAGCTACTGTCGCGGCTAGTCGAGGAATATCAGAATGGCTGTCGAGAGTTTCTTTTCCGACTTTGCTTTGAAATAGTTTCCAAGCTTCCTGATCACTCAAACACTTCACCTCAAACGTCTTTTGAACTCCCATGAGGCCACAGACTTTCATTTCACGAGTTGTGAAAAGCACCTTTGATGCATTTTCAGGACTCGGACGAGGGACCCCAACCTCTTGTAAATCCACTCGCTCCCATAAATCATCAAGTAATAATGCAAACTTCTTGCTGCTTAAAATTCTGAAAATATCAGTAGCTTTCTCTCTGACAGTTTTCTCCTTCCATGATCTGTCGGATAAACCTATCCTTTTTCCGATATCTTCCTGAATATTCCCAATTTGCATGTTTTTCGACGGTACGACCCGGATTACAAAATCAAATTCATTCGGTGTACGAAGGAGTTTGTTGTTGATCTCGATTAACAGAGTTGTTTTGCCGACTCCTCCAAGACCATATAGGCCGATAGTGCCCACCTGTTCTTCTTGAAGGGAGCTCCAGACTTCATCAACCATTGATTGCAGGCCCACTTTAGCTTCTGGTATCTTTTCACCAACCTCTTTAAAATCTCCTTCATTGGTTAATGTAACCACATCTTTAAGTATTTTATCTACTTCTTTTCCGAATTTGCAGCTCGAGCAGCAGTTCCAGGGACAAAAGCCGCAAAGACATGATTTCTGAACTTGTTGAGATCTTTCTCTGATCAGCAGCTGATCAACTCGAGTTTCGACATCTTCGACCCGTAAAATCCATTCGTGCACACTGTCAAGCCGTTTCATTTGTTGTTGTTCAGCATCGATGACACTCCTCATCACATCGCGTCTTCTTTCAATTAATTTTTCCTTTGCCTTCTCCAAGGCAACAAGATTATCTTGGAGCTTACATAGACATGCCTTCTTTCTACATAGACATGCCTCCTTTCTAGGAATGCACTTTTGACAATTGCATTTACATAGACATGATTTACATAGACATGATTTACATAGCCATGATCTACATAGCCATGATTTACATAGACATGATTTACACAGCCATGATTTACATAGACATGCCTCTCTTCTAGGAATGCACTTTTGACAACTAAATTTACAGAAACTAGCATTACATGAGACTGAGAGAGAGAGTGAGCAGCACTTCATACCCATATTTTCTTTTTTATCAGAATTCAAAGAAGAGAGGAGGAAGGCTGATGAGAATATTGAGATAAAAAAATACGTTCAAGACTGGAATTTATGTACATTGTGTAACATAACTGCTTACTTTTTAATTAATTCAAAATTACACAAGCTATTTAATTGAATTGCAGAATAGCTGGCCGCCATTTTTGACTTCAAATTATGACTAATGAAACAGGAAGGGAATCTCCAATGGATGTGACATAAAATTATTTATTGATCTGTCCCACCGCTAATTATATATCTTCAAAAATTGAAGATCTTGGTATTTGTTTGGATCGATAATAATATGTGCTGGTGAGCAAAATGGACTCCACATTATATGTTCCTTAGTTGAGAAACAATACTGTGCTTCCTTATTATAAGAGTAGTAATACTATAGCTATAACCTAATTTTACAATTTTTTTTTTATAACTCCGACATGATAACTCGCAAATGAGTCTCTATTCAATTGTGAATTGTCGCGTCAAGGTTGTTGAAGAAAGTTTGTAAGATTATATTGTGAGCCAATTTTTAAAGAGATTATAGACATTATTGTAATATTATGTTTCGTTATTATATATTTAAACTTTTATATAAATAGGTGATGTATTCATAAAGTCAATATAATTCAATATAATACAATTAAATTCATCAAAAAGCATTTCTCGGACATATTACGATCCCTTTCAGTTGTCTCTCTTAATCTCTTAAAGAAATCTCTTCGATATATTATGATAGTCTCTTTTTCTTTGCTGCTCTTGTCTACTTAAACTCTAACAATATGTTTTTCAGAAATATACTTGAGAGCATGCGTGGGAATTGCTTAAGGTGACACTCAAAAGTGAAAACCTTAAACGTTCGAAGAAACAAGAATCCACAGCCAAACAAATATAATGCTAGCTTCTGCTTTTTTACACGTCATTGAATACATAAATCTTATCATAAAGACTAATTAAATCTAAAGTTGCTTTATTTCCTCTTTAACTTTATTTATCATCAAGTTCATCTCCATTATACACATATTTTTTGGCTTTTGAATTTGATGATAAATACATGCATCTCTCATAACGTTAACATCCTTTAAATTACTTTATGGAAACTGACAAATTTGACTACTGCTTGACCTAATTATATTGTTAATCACTTAGCCAACATGATATATATACTTGATTACCCCAATTAATTGATGGGGATCCCCAAATTAAAGTATGCCTATTGATTTACCTCATTTTTTAAAGCATTATTCTAGGATAGAGATATGTATACTTGATTGCCCCAATTTAGTGATGGGAATCACCTAATTTATAGGTTTGCATTTTAAATGATACAATTAATAGGTGTAAATGCTTTTCAGTGCTTGCAAATTCAAATTTATTGAACTCCAGGGGTTAGTCAGACGGTCAAGAAAATTTGCTCCTTCATTGATTTCTTGAGTTCGAACATTAGGGTCACCTATCACATTTGTGACTTATCTTAAAACATTAAGTTTGTAGGGTATCCAATGAGTTATGAGGATTAGTTGAAGTATGAACAAGTTGGCCTGAATACCCCTATCATTAAAAAAAAAAAATTCAAAGGATTGATAGGCAACTCAAACGAGAGTGAATAAGATTTCTGAAAACAATCCAGGCCTTCAAAATTGCTACTCAATTTCAATGCAATTTAGGGAATTGAACAATAAAAAATATATAACTGAATGTGTTACAGAAATTTAAAGAGAGAGTAGAGGTGGAGAAAGTGAAGGCAAGATTAGACTTTTAATCAAACCCATTAATTAACATTCTTTTTATGTAAACGTGATTATAGTTGTTTGCCATTTCAAATTAAAAATAGTTACACGTGCTCTGTTACAGTTACAGATCCTTTAAATGATTAGTCAGCCGAAAGATATATTTTCTTTTCGTCGGCTTTTAGTATATGCACATATGGAGATCACTAATCATTTGAAGATTCCTAGCTATGCTAATAGTCTTATGCTTCCAATTCTTGTTGGAGAATTTGGAAATTTAATAGTTATAAAGTTTACATAAACATTTTTATTTGGTAAAATATTTACAGAATGGAGGAGGAAGAGAGACTTTCTCAAGTGTTCTTGGAGATTCGTAAAATGGCATCACGATGAACTTATTTGTAGATTTGTAAGCACCCGTCAATTTGGGTTACAGTTGTTTTTTTTTTAAGTATATGAGATATCTAGACTTATATTGGAGCTTGCTTAATTCTCAGGGCCACGGAAACACGAGCCACTGGGATCTCTCCTAAGACTTGAACATGACTTTCTGGATATAGCTAATCCCAGTAGTTAAAAAGTTTGTCAACCGGCCACAAAAAGAGAGGTAAGTTTTCATTCATACTACTTAATTTTCTGCTACACAATAAATACTTAAATTTCATCAATCACAGTAAATGAAATACCACAACGTTTTCAGCTTTATAGGTGTGACTGGAGGAATATTACCCTGGTTTCAGCTAATTCTAATACGGGATATTTTTAATATAAGTTGCAGCTTCAAATTTAAGATGCTCTCAATCTATTGAACTATTTAAATAGTATTCATCTTCTCAAATGTTGAAAGCAGTCTATCAATTGGGATGAAAATCCTGATATTAAACCAATGATAGTTAAGAAATTTTTTGAAAATTTATTTGAAGAAATTACTCTGTAAATAAAAAATTGAACGATGGTCTTAAGACTTGAGAATGTCTGCGGTAACCAATTCTGAAAATAGCATCAACTAGTTAGTTTTTTATCTTGAAAGAGTAAACGACATATTCCTACTTAAACTAACACGGTTAGTGATTGTTGGAGATAATCGGAAACAATGAGTGAAGTCGGCAAGTAAAAGTATAAGTTTTATAGAGGAAATTGTGGGGAGTTCCAATGATAGTCTCGGAAGTGATTTTGAACTAGAATCGATCGAAAAAAGCCAAAAAATGTCAACTTGGATGTTGATAACATGAGCCATTTTTTTTGCTAAAATAACCCAATCTTCTACCAAAGAAAGCGTTGACACACTTTAGAATACTAACATACGCCGTGCTATAGTGAAAAATTGAGAATATGTTAAAATAAAAAAAATATTACTTTAAGGGTAAAAATCTGGAATAAATGCAGTCAAGTGTATCAACTTGGGATTTCGTTAAACCTTATGTGAGAATTCGTTGTTTGATCACCTTGAAATTGATTTTTTAGTTTAAATACAAGAAATCCTTGATGCATAGTAATTGCCTTTGGAACTTTTGATATAAGTCATTAACCAAGAAAGAACCTAGACCATAGACAGCAATTAATAAATAAACTGTAACACCTCATACCCACTTCCTGTATTGGGGGTCCGATTTGTTTCTTACGCACTTTCGCTGATGGGGATGTGCTCGAAACCCTTGGAAAGTGAGTAGAACGTAACTCTCAGAATTCCAGCGAAGGAAGTGAGTATGGGAGGTAACTTAGACAACATTGCAAGCTCACCATGTTTAGCGAGATTTGAAACAGAGATGAAAGGCACTTTGAGTGGCTTGATCCTCCCATTGCAACTCTTCCCACCACTGTTTTCCTCCTTCAATAACAAAATTACTTTCCTTCACACTCCTGGAATCGAGTGGAAGCTTTCTAAGCACTGGACATTCATATACAATCATTTCCTTCAAGTGTGGGAAGGACAAGGCATCCCTATAGATGCTCTTCAACTTATGAAGATGATGCAATTTAAGTGATTGGAGTTTCCCAAACGGATTTAGATTTCCCATCAACCCCGGAACTTCTTCCAATTTTTGGACACTGATTACTTCTTCCATCCCTGTACACGATGATATCTTGATGACCTTGAGGTTCGGAGCAAGAACAAGCCATGTCAAGTCCCTCAATTTTAAGCAATAGTCTATATGAACCGTTTGAAGACTGCGGAAACCGCGAGTTTGCAGAACTTTTTGCACTTCCCCTGCATAGTTAATCTTCAGCTCTTGAAGATATTTGCAATTCCAAATGCTAAGTGAGTCCAGATGCTTCATATTTGCTAAAGACAAAAAATTGATCGGCTTCGAATTCTCAAAGTAGAGAAGGCATAGAGATTGAGTACAACTCTGAAACTTGTTGAAGCTCAAAAATATTTGCAGAGCATTGTAACTTTTTAAGCTGATGCTCAACATATTCAATTGCTTCAAGCCAATCAATTCTTTCACCAAAAACTCACCGTCACCAGATAGAACACTATCTTTCGTTTGACACACAAAACCACAGTTGAACATTCTTAATACATGGAGCTTTGAAAATGTAGATATCAGCTGCTGGGGAATTGTATGGAGAGAACTCGTGTTCTCTAAGTTCAAACATTTAAGATTTATCAACGCCTTCAACTCTTCGGGTATCACTTTAATGGCTGTCTCTGATAGATCAAGGTGTTGTAGAGAAACCAATGTTGAAATTCCTGATGGTAACTCCCTCAGAGAATCATTATATGATAGATTTAAAACCCTGAGAGTAGGCATGTATTGAAAGAAGCTACTCTTGATTGTTTCTAAACTGTTATAGTTAAGAAACAAAGTTTGGAGGTGAGGGCATGTAGGAATCACTGATAGATAACCTAGTTGATTTTCCATCAATGATATTCTTCTGACATCTTTCCATTTTTCAACATCTGGTAAATCAGTTATTCCAATACCTGCACGAACTAAGAAATTTTCACTCTTCTTCTCAATTTCACAGGCTATCCATAAAGCCATATCTCGAAGTACATCATGCATTTTTAAACAATCATCTCCATCTTCTTCCAATAAACATGCATGAAGAAGAACACCAATGATGTAATATCCTTGGTCCTGCACATCATTTATGCTATCATGATCTTTCAAAAATCCCTCTCCAATCCAACAATCTATCAAATGCCTTCTAGAAACACTGTAGTCTTCAGGAAATAAACTACAGTATAAGAAACAAGTTCTAACTGTATCGCTAGATAAACTATCATAACTAAACTTCAAAAGAGGATATACCTCTTTCACCATACCTGGAAATTCAAAGGCAGATCCTCCTAAGACTTGAACTGCATATCTCCATTCTTGTGGTGTCTTCTTGTAAGCCATGGCACGGCCAATAGTAATAAGTGCAAGTGGCAGACCGCCGCACTCCTTGGCCACAATTTCTGCTATCTCGGGAATATCTGGATGAGAGCTAAGAGTGTCTTCCCCAACCTTCTTTTGAAATAATTTCCAAGCTTCTTCATGTCTTAGACACTCAACTCTAAACTTCCTTTGGGTTTCCATATGACCACAAACCTCAACAAAACGAGTTGTGAAGATTACTTTGGATGCAGTTGTTGGGTTTGGAAGAGGAACACCAACTTTAGTTAAATCAACTCTCTCCCAAACATCATCCAATAACAACACAAACCTCGTCTTGCTCAAAATTTGGAAAATCTCCAAGGCTTTCTCTTCAAGGCTTTTATACTTCCACATCTCATCAAAATGAGCAAGCCTTTTCCCGATGTTTTCTTGAATTTTTTCAAGTTGCAGCTCTTTAGACACGGTTACCCAAATCACAACATTAAAACCTTCTGGAGTATTGACAAATTTATTGTTAATTTGGGTTAAAAGGGTAGTTTTACCAACTCCCCCCATGCCATACAGACCAAAAATACCCGCTTGGTTTTCTTCAAGGCATCTCCAAACTTCATCAAATGTTGATTCCAGGCCCACCATTGGCTCACTAGGTCTTTCTTCCACTGCAGATTTTGGTATTATTACCCTCTCAGCCACCACTTGGAAAGCTCCTTCACCCCTTAAAGTAGCCACAAGTTTCAGTTTTTCAGCCACCTTCTTTCCGAACTTGTAGCTCGACTGGTAGTTCTTGGAACAGTAGCCTCCAAGACATAATTTCTCAATCTCTTCAGAGCTATCTCTTATCATTTCACCAACTTCAAATTCTACAGCTTGCACTCTGGACAGCCACCCTTGAACTTGGTTCAGCCGTTTCATTTGTTGTTGCTCAGCAATAATAACCCTCGTTATGACATCATCCCTTGCTTCAGTTAACTTCTGCAGTTCGGTCTGCAAGACAGCAAGATTGTCTTCAAGCTTGTACATGGATTTAGCTCTGCTAGCAGTGTAATCTTGGCAAGAAGAGAAAATGCCATCAAGTGAGATTGAGATCGAACATATGTTACCCATAATTTGTATAAGATTTACCTCAGAGAGAAAGGAGAGTGATGAGCATTAAAAAAAAAGAGGAACTTGTTCTAATTTAATGACCTGATAATTTGATTTATTTGATTGAATGTCAAAGTTGCCGGCCAACACTTCGATGAATGACAATACAACTAATTGATGTGACAAATAAGTAAGTATGGACTTCTAATAATTGAACCCACTGATGACTTCTTGAAGCCCATTAATGTTATTATATAAGTCTCAGTAGACTTTCTGTTTTGCTAATGACTTTCTTGGTCAAATCAATAGGTGCCGTATAGGGCTAGACATGACAATGTGCAGCTTCTTTAAAAAAAAAAAAAAAAAAATGGAGATAAATTTAGTGAATCCTATGGTTAAAGCTTTACCTCCAAAGTCAGGTTCTACCGTACTGAAAACATCTTGTGGCTAGGGGTACTTACCTGAGTCCCGGGATTAGCCTCATACTTTTGGGTACGGAGAGATCCGAGGCTTTCACCCAAAAGAAAAAAAAAAAAAAAATCACTACATTTGTTGTCTCCTGTTACCTATCTTGACAAGCAAATATTTTGAAGTTAGATCGAAACAATTGATAAGTTCCAGAGCAGCAATCCGCAATGATGCATCATTCATCCAAATATTTAGTTAATAACAGTTCAAATAAATGACAAAACAAATGACACTATAAATTCGGATAACAGGGGCTAACTTTTAAAGTCAAATAATACACCAGAAAAGAAGAAAGAAAAAGAATTACATACTTGTACAGTAAACAGGAAAGAATTGTTTTTTCAAACTGTGAATCCGAATGTCCATCATGTTGATGTCACTAGTAAGGTTTTAGAAAGGGAAGATAAGCATTTTCAGTCGCGGGATCCTCCCATAGTCCCATTGCAGTCCTTTGCACCAGTCCCCCTGTACCTTAATAACAAATTTACATTCCGTTGCGTTGTTGGAATGGAGTGGAAGTTTCTTCACCTTTGCACAATCGTAAATAAACATTTCCTTCAGATGCCGGAAGGGCAGGGCATTCAAGTGAATGCTAGTCAAATTTGGTAGATCTTCAAATTCCAGATATTGAAGTTTTCCCAAAGGATTCAGATTGTCAATTATCATTTGAGCTTCACTCAATTTTTCAACACTGATGATCTCTTCAATAGCATCGCATCTTGTTATATATGTCGATTTTCTTGAGGGTCGGGGCATGAATAAGCCATGTTGCGTCTCTTAAATTAGAGCAATGGTTCATGCAAAACTTCACGCAGGCTATGGGGACCATAAAATTCTTTTAGTCATTTTATCAAACATGTTATAGGCTTATCCAATCTTCACAACCAGATTGTGATCAACCACACATCATCCTCAAAATGCCCACATTTATCAAATTTTCAAAATTTATTATTATCCAACAAACACTACAACTTCAAACCAACATCAACAACCCAGAACAAAGTCTGAGAATCAACAATTTGCCTTCTTCTCCAATCACTTTCCGTCGGAGTTTTTAAAGAAACAAGTAGCAATGGGAAGTTCAGAAGAGACTTATAATGTTGGTGGCGTGCTGTAGTAAATCCTTGTACCCTGTTTATGCTGAGGATTTCAACGACTCTTCATCGGAATGTGATTGCCAAACCTTGATTCATTTGCTTCCAGCAAATAGTTTAGTATGGGGTTTATCGTAGAAGTATTGGGTCAGAGCTTTAATTTCGTTTCTGACAAATTCTATTGCTTCTGCAATAATTGGAAAATTTATCAAATTCTAGGCTTCATAAAGAAGAAACCAGTATCTAAATGCGACAATGGAGATCTCAGTTAATTTTTCCAAACTTTGGGGAGACTATAATATTTGAGAACATGGATTCGATTTCTTGTTTTCATTTTACGAAATTAAAAAAGGAGCTTCGACTTGTTTGTTAATGGCTTAGGAAAAGTATTTACACACAGCATCAATGTTAAAATGCGCATTAACAATCATGAATGGATTTAAAACAGGATAGGAAAGGACTTGATCTTCCCATTGCAGCTCTCTCCACCAATCTTCCTCCCCCAGATGACAATTTTTTATGTTCCTTCGCACTAATATCATCGAGTGGAAGCTTTTTAAGTTTTGGACATCCGATCACTCTAATTCGCCTTACATACTATTCAAATTTGGTGCATTTTGTAATTCAAGAAATTTGAGTTTGGTAAACAGGTCTAGATTTTCCATCATCCATGGAACTCCACCCAATTTTCCAACACTTACTATTTCTTCCATATCATAGCAATTTGAAATCTCAATTTTCTCCATGTTTGGAGCAAAACTAAGCCATGTCAGGTCCCTCAATTTTAAACACAACCATATTTGTACTTTGTGAAGGTTTCGGAAACCATGATGTTACTTATTATTTGTACATACCTTGCCTGGTCAATCTTCAAATCATCCAAATATTTGCAATAAAAAGTTTCCTGAGATGCTTCAAATGAAGGCATAGAAGATTAGTAACCATTCAACTTGTGGTAACATTTAAAATTTCTCAACTTCTGGAGAACCATTTGTAAATGACTAAATCCTAACAAGAAAGACATATATTTTCTTCATCTTTAAACCTTGAAAGCCACCCTTCTACTTGTTCCAACCATTCCATTTGTTGTTGTTCAAAGATTAATTGAGTTAATTATAAAACAAACTATATGGGTAACATGGATCTGCTCATTCTCACCATAGGTGATGCCATTTTCTGAATTTTTTTTTTTTTTGGTAACCGAAATGTTGAAACCAACTTATGTGCACCTCAATTATCCTCGGAGTCTATTGAATATCCTACAAATCCAAATAGCCAAATAAACCACAATATAATTATGGTAAGAAACCCAAGGTTTGAACAAAAAAAAACTCAAGAAATTGAGCAAACCACCTTGAATTCTAATTTTTCTCTTATCCTATTAGACTGTTGCGCTAGAAAAGTATCATGCATGGTCAAAGATATGTCACTATCATGCATACCAACAATTTCTTTTGAAAAGTAAACTGACTTTTTCCCACCGAGGTTTGCCTTACTTACATTTTCTTACTTAAAGGCTGCGTTTGGTAAACTTTTGGGAATACTACTTTTAGTATTCCCAAAAAAGTTAAACAGTAAATTACCCAAAATTTCAGATTTTTGGGAATACTACTCCCAAAATTATTCAACTTTTTTTAAACCCTTTAAATTTGATAATTTAATTAAATACCCCTAAATATTTTTTTTAAAATTACAAAAACACCCCAATAATCCAAATTTACCAGATTCCGGCCACCACCACCGGAAAATGGCCGGAATCTGGTAGAATGGCGCACTACCGGCTGAATCTGGCCGGCAGTGCGCCGATCTAGCCTTTTCCGGCCAGATCCACGGTGGATCTGGCCGGAAAAGGCCAGATCTAAGGCCAAAGATCTGGCCGTTGACGGCCAGATCTTTGGCCGTAACACTCGGTCACGACGGCCAACAAACGGTCGTCGTTGACCATCAACGACGACCGTTTGTTGGCCGTCGTTGAGAGTAAATACGGCCAGATCTGGCCGTTGACGGCCAGATCTGACCGTAGATCTGGCCTTTTCCGGCCAGATCCACCGTGGATCTGGCCGGAAAAGGCCATAGCGACGCATGACCGGCAAGATCCAACCGGTCATGCGCCCATACGGCGACTCCGGCCACCTCCGGTGGTGGTCGCCGGCTGGGGGTGTTTGAGGGTGGGTTAGGGGTATTTTTGTTAACTTTTAATGTTTTATTATAGGGGGTATTTTGTAAAAAAACAAACATAAAGGAGATTTTATTAATTTATAAATTTTACCTCGTAATACCCGCCCAATTCAACTTTTTTTTAACTTTTTTCAAAAAACTTTTCCCAAAACCCCCAAATTTTCAACCAAACGCAGCCAAAAAGTTTCGAAATACTATTTTTTAACTCAAAGTTTATGTTCCATTAATACTAAAAACCAATTCTGACGATAAAAATTTTATTTGTTCCATCATTTGAACATCTGGTCTCTTATTTATAAAACTCTTGTCACTTGGGTACTTGATTTCTCATCAATTACTGACCACCGCAAAGTTAGGGTTTTTTGTTCTTAGTCGATTTCTAACTGATTCTAGTAATGAATATTCAATCGATTACTACTATTTGATCCATCGGCCTTTACTCTATAAAACCTCTCTTACTTTGGCTTTTGATAACTCGCCGAATGACAGTTAAGAAGGTAAAGTGTATTTTGGATATTAATGGAATATAAACTCAAGTGAGAATATGGCATTTTAAAATTCTTTGGGTGCAAAAATGTCATTAAGACAAGCCGTGGGTGGGAAAAGTCGTGTACTCTTCTTTTGAGCGAGACCCAAAACCTGATTTTGATTCGCATATATTCTCTCTTTTGTGCGTGTCAAATCAGTTAAGCTTTTTTTAACCAACTAATATGATTGATGCTTTAAAATTGAGTAGGGGAGCGGGAATCAGTCAATTTAACTGATAATTTCGCGGAAGTTTCTCATTTTCAAATTTCAACAATATTATTGACCTTTGACCCATTACTGTTTTCAGTTACTATCCTGATTTCAAAGATACTCATGACACCAAAAAAGAGTGATCAGTGAATGGTAATTTCCCACCTAGGTTCACCTACTATTATTCAGCTCACCCGTTAAGTTTAACGGGAGAAGGACAAGATAATAAATTCACTAAAAGCCGAAAAACCAACAAATTTAACCGGGGAAGATTAAGGCTCTGTTTGGTTCACAATTTTATGTTTTTGGGAAAAATTTTTTGAAAAAAGTTAAAAAAAAAGTTGAATTGGGCAGGTATTACGATGTAGGATTTACAAATTAATAAAATACCCCCTATGTTTGTTTTTTTAGAAAACACCCCTTATAATAAAACATTAAAAGTTAACAAAAACACCCCTAATTCACCCTCAAATACAGACAGCCGGCCACCACCGCCGGAGGGTGGCCGGAGTCGTCGTAACAAAAATATTAAAAATATTTAGG